CAACTATTTCACAGTGATGCGCAGAATAATTTACTATGCCACTTTCTGGTCCGTTTGAAAACAGGTTCTGTGGATTATCCAAAGTAACAGTTGGTTGAAAGAGATGTTTTATTTTATGTGCTAGTAAAATCGGGTTTAGTCCATGCCATACTTGTCATGGCTGTGTTGTAGTGCCACCTAGCTTCTTAGTCTCTGCAGCTAGCAAGGATATCGCTATACTGTGTAAAGCAAAGACCCAGTGACAGAGCTAGTCTGCATTAATAGGTTCCTTTGGTGGAAAAGGTTTACTTCTCTGCACTAAGGACACTAATTGGAAATAATTCAAGACATGCTTTTCATTCAGAATTGCTATATATATATTTATGCATCCATCCTTCCCACTATACTGACTAGTCTCCTAGTCCCAGCTGCAGAAAAACATCCCACGGCATGATGCTGCCACCACCGTGTTTGACTGTAGGGATGGTATTAATAAGGTGATGCTCTGTGCCTGGTTTTCTCCACACACGCTATTGGGAATTGTGGCCATATAGTTCAATCTGTGTCTCATCAGATCAGAGGATTTTGCTTCTCATCGTCTGAGAGTCATTCAGGTACCTCTCAGTGTCTTTTAGTGAGGAATGGTGTGGGAGACCAAGAGGGTTAAAGCAGGCAGAAAAGAGAAAAAAAACTTATCAGCCTGTTACTTGGGCAGCTGCCCAGACTGGATGAAGACACAGGGACACCTGTTGCACCTCAGAGAAGGAGAGATAGAAAAGAGCCTTTGAGGTAAATATTCAATGTTTTCAAGATGTCTTCCTGTGACAAGTTGAATCTTTAATGTTAATGTTTAATGTTTTTAAGATGACACCCTGTGACAAGTTAATGTGTTTATGTCTTACCTTTTAATGGGGTGGACTTATGTGTATGACAGAGTGATATGTCACCTGTTACTTTTTGTCCTCTTAATGGAGTTTTGGGCATGTTCATGATGTTTGGATGTGTCTGGAGGTATCATTAACCACAAACAAGTGTCAAGAAGATATGGTTTACTTGTTATTTTTGTTTTATAGCTTCTGAAGGGGCGACTAAGGCTGACCTCTCTAGGGTCAAATACAATGGTGTTTATGGCGCTGGAGGTCAAAGAGAGAAAGGTGGGGTAGACCATATTTAGACAAGGAGGTACACATGGAGAGAGTATAAAAGATGTTGCAGGAGCTCTGTAAACTATTCTGCTTCGCAAAACCGAAATGGAGATATTGCCATTTGTGACCTTTTGCAATAAATCCTACGCCTTGCTTCAGACTGAAGAGACTGAGTGTTTTTTCAGAAGATAAGGGAATCATCACAGGTGTGTGCCTGACTTATACTGGCCCAGGTCAGGTTCCACAGCGATATCTTTCATCTGACCACTCTACCAGAGGCCTGATTGGTAAAGTGCTGTGCTGATGGTTATATTTCTGTAAGGTTCTCCCATCTCCAGAAAGGAGCTCTGGATCTCGTTCATAGAGACTTTTGGCTTCTTGGTTACCTGCTGACCAAGGCCCTTTGTACCTGATTACTCAGTTTGGCCAGATCTGTGAAGACTTGGTGGTTCCAAATTTCTTCAGCTTGAGAATGATGGAGGCAACCATGCTATTGGGCACTTTCAATGCTGCAGATATTTTCTTGTATATCCTTCTCCAGATCTCTACAACAACTAGTTCTTTTGACCTCATGGCTTTGTTTATGACATCAAAAGTAAGACCTTATATGGACCTTATAGGTGTGTGTGTGTGTGTGTGTGTATATATATATTCTCAGAGAGCTTTGCAAATGCGTAGAATATTTTAAGAAATAATTACAATTTCAATATCCCAGCACCTCCTATTTCAGCCAGTCTTTTGACTTTGTGATGTGATCAAACTGCAAAAGGTGCATGTTTGCCTGTAGGGAAGAGTATTTTTGCCCTTCGGCATTAAATATCTCAGCTCAAACAGAGAATTGAAAGTCTTATGCCTTTTAGTTTGTGATATGCCTTTATCAACTAATTCTCTGTAATCTATACTGCTTGCAGGGTATGGTTCCCCACATGTTTGTTGTTAGTACTACAAAAGGTAGCTACTTTTTCAAATATAGCTTTAATCAAATGTAGCTACTGTCACGAAAAGTAGCAATGAACACTCAAAATCCTTCTTTACGCCACCTTCTTTATGACTGGTACAGGCTGAATACCCAAACTCATTAGGAAATTGTTGCCCTTACCTGGATTCATCATTTGAAGTATGTTTTGAGCCCATTAAAATTTTTAAGTGCATCATGCTTTTCTAGAAACAAGGTCTATGGTATCAGAGGATAAAATGACCTTGGTTTTTGGGATTAAACCCTTTCACAGTAACTCAGATAAATGCAGTGTCTGGAGAGTCTGACTCCTCTTTGTCATTCTGTCTCTGTGCCACGAACCTCAACAGAACAGAGAGCAAAGACTTTGTCAAATACAAATATAGAAAGGAGAGAAAGGGAGTAGGTAGCGAAGGGAGGGTGAGACAGAGATGAAACAGACAAGACAGATCTGTGAGACAGAATATGTGTAGAATTCCTGTGAGATCTCTTCTCTCACCAACTGTGTATGATGCTTTGAAAGTTATGCACATGGGGAACGTCTCAAAGTGGCAGTGTTTTGAATGGATTCTCCATGCATTCCTCTCTCTACCTATCCACCCAATCCCTTCCGTCTCATCTTATTCTCTTGCTGCCTTTTTCTGCAGTCAGAGCTCCTTCTTGAGCTTCAACCTAAGATTAATGGAATGCACTCTGTGGTCTCAGACAAGAGTTCATAAATGACACTGGCTGGATGGAAGGATGGAGGCCGGCTCGATTAAAAATATGACTGAATAGATGGTGACCTTCAAGATCAGGTTATGAACACTGCAGAAAAGCAGACACATGAATGCTTTTAAATTATGGTAGTGAATTAATGACATAGTTACTGAGAGGCCAGAAAACAAATGCAATGTCATTCATCTGAAAGTCAAGATTTAAAAATGTGTAGGAGCAGATTCATCCACAAATAAATTTAAACCAGTAAGGAAGAAACTATTTGGTGCAGCCAAAAATAAGGACTTGAACATATTCCATGACTAACAGTAGTGTCTTTGTCTGACTCTGAATTCTTTGTTACTCCCCCACTTTGTCTGTAGATCTTACCTCTCTAAGCCTCCTGGTTCTAACTGAAGATACTGAATTTTTAAGTATATAGATGTATATGCAATCGTTTCCTTAAAAATGGTTCATTAGATTCCTAAAAACTGTGGTTTTTAACAAAAATAAATAAATAAACAGGAGGAAATACTACATTTGCTGGGATTAATTCACATTTAGTGCTCAAGCGAGTATTTGCAGCAGCAGTACAGTCTCTGTGGGACTGAGTCAAAACAAACTACAGTGTGTTTGTTAATGAAAGAACATCAGTGCAACAGTGTGGCTCATTGGAGTGGAGTGCTTTTAATCATTTTTGGACAGAAATAGAGCTCTAAAACACAAAGAAAGTGATTAATTGATAACTTGATGGTCAGAAAATTAATAGGCAGTACTATCTGTGTGAAAGTGGCTTCTCCACTTTGGTACAGCTCAAGTCAAAGCAAAGGAACAGGTTGGACAATGATCTGAGAGTAGTTCTGTCTACTTTCAGCCCAGACACTGAGACTCTTGTCAAAACTAAAGCACAAACACAACTATCTCATTAGTTCACTGTAAAATAAAAGTTTGCTTACATGTTAAGTGAAAAGTGTGTTTGTTTCATGCTGTGTTTGCAGTTCTGCATTCAGTTTTACACATATACAGCACCCTGTTGTGTCATTTGACTGTTGTATATATGTTGTGTTACACAGCAGTTGTGATGTTTATTTATGTTTGAGTAACATTTCCTCAATGCAGACAGAAAAATCTGACACAAAGGCTGTACTAACTATGTTTTAAAAAGGCGCTTTATACTTTAATAAATTAGTTTGAAATTTTGTACTGGTGGGTCGCGACTTGATAAGTGAGTTGGAAAGTGGGTCTCAGGGCCAGTTGAGAACCACAGTGGTACATCAATGTAAACTGTGCCATTTTGCATAATTAGTACTTTTACTTTTCGGACTTAAAGTATATTTTATGCTAATGATTTTTTTGCTTTTACTTTACATTTTGAATGCAGCATTTTACTTGTAACTGAGTATTTTTACACTGTGATTTGCTACTTAAGTAAACAATCAGAGTACTTTTCCCTCAGTGCCACAAACTTTGTGACATGATCCAGAGTTGAGTGTTCTTCAACAGGTTTAGCACTGGGTGTTCAACTGGCCCTTACTTCTCCAGCCATACAGACCCCATACCCTCCTTTCCCCGACAGTTTCCTCTCGCACCGCCCCAGTAATCAATACTAGTGGCTTATGTGGACTTCAATACAGCCCCAACTCCCTAAATTATATATACTGTATTATATGAATGAATGAATGACACTTTATTATAGACTCAAGGTCCAAATTAAAACAAATAGACATTAAAAGAACAATTCATATATATTTTCTACTTTATATACATCATTGCTATTTTAATTTCATGAAGTGATTATTTATTTATCCATTTATAAAGTTAACAAAGTTGTTGTGTTTATTGCTTTTGCATGTTTTATTGTGTTTTAACAGGTTTTAGTGATATTGTGTTAAGTGCTTTGGTCAGCTTCGGCTGTGTTAAACGTGCTATATAAATAAAGTTGATGATGATGATGAAAGTGAAAGTTTTGCTCTATGAAAATAAAGTTACAGCTAATAATAGAGTAGGAGAATATTACCGACTGTGGTACTGTTATGTACCACTGAAAACACTAGGTTTGTGTTGAACAAGTCCACCTGGAGGTTGTGCACAGCGTGGTGCTGCCCAGAAGGAAAGGATTTATTTGGTTTCACACTTTCCATGTCTTTAGTTATACTATGCTGGCTTAACATCAGAGGTAAAGAATGTGGTCTGGCTGACCTCCAATCTGTTTCTGTGTCCCTCAGCCACCTGTCTGGCTCCAGACTCAGGGACCTCTTCTACATCTGCAGCCCCTTCATCAAAAGAGCCTGCCTTATCTCTGGCTATGTGAGTACATGGATTTTTATATTACAGAGTATAGTACTGGCAGTTCTGCACACTTGGTTGATTGTTTACTTACTGTGAATACCTCACATGGCTGTCGGCCATAGATTTTAAGATCAGTAAATATATGGTATTCCTATCATCATTTGGTACGCTTTAAATTAAATTTATTTGTCACTGCTTTTTTTAATATTGTCAAATGCTTCATGATTGCATGATACAGTTGAGTGTGAGGGATGTTTGGAAAAGTTTTGTTCAGTATACTTGACTGCTGCCCTGTTCATCTTATGTAAAACTTCCTTCAAATGTCTATGTCACAGTTTAAATACTTCATCTGAGTTACAGTGGAATCAGAGGTTTACATACACCTTAGCCAAATACATTTAAAATCCGTTTTTCACAACTCATGTCTTAGGTTTATAAACTGTGGCAGGATTGCTAAGATTTTTCCACCCACTTCTCTAGGTGATCATCATCATGTCAGTCAGGCTGTGGCTGATGGGAGGATCCATGCCTCTTTTCTCAGAACAGGACAACCCTGCCTCCTTCTCACCTCACTTGCTTACAAGGTCAGTGTCCCATACCAACCAAACCCCCCCCCCCTCCACACACACACCCACATAATGCATTCCCTGGCCGATACACTCACTGACATAATGCATTCCCTGGCCGATACACTCACTGACATAATGCATTCCCTGGCCGATTACCTAACCTTAGCCATCAGAACTAAATGCCTAAGCCTAACCCTTCCCCTAATACCTACTGTAAACCTAAATCTTAACCCTCAAAAAGGTGTTTCACAAAGTGAGGACCACCCAAAATGTTCTTGTTCTGTAGCAAAAAAACAAAAACCTTTTCAGTCCTCACTATGTAGCAAGTACAAGGACACGCAAACAGAACAAACAGATTAAACATGGAATTTCAGAAATTTAAGAAAGCTTAAGATGTCTTTTTGTTCCTTAACACCCTCTATTTAGCGGAACCACGCACACCCCTCACAAATTCAAAAAGTGCTTTTTGACCCAGGTAGTTTTTGTCCCTACCTACATCATTGATCAGGTTTTCTGGGTCTAGAGGACAGATTGACTGGATTTTATTTGCAAAAAGGAAAATGACTTCTGTTCTAATGAACATTATAATGGGACCACCATGCGTACAGGTTGATGGGCATTAATAAAAATTAATAAAAGTACTGCTATTACTAAAATAAACAACAATGAATATAAGAATGGAAACAGTGATTTATTTAATAGATTGTTTTGGTTGTTCAAAAATGAACTGGTATTTGAATAAATGTTTAGTTGTTTTAAGTAATTAACACACCATAAATGCCAAACATTAAATGTGAAGATTTGTTTCTTTGTGTGCAACATTTGGCTTGAAACGACTACTGTACAAGAGAAATTTGGCCTTCATTTTTTAAACATGAGCATATGATCGGGGTGGAGCTGTGAGAATTTCGGCTGCTCGCTCATTGAGATGTTCGTTGACTCCGCTCCCTTGCTCAAAGCTGCACCAGGCCGGTCCGTTCATTATCACTCATTGCTCATGTCACATTGCATCCTGCTCCACTCATCAAACCCACTCACTCAACAAAAAAGGGAAATAATCTGCATGTGTTTCACTTTTATCTTAAACTATAGGCTTATATCCCAAAGACAATGACTACTTTTTCCAAATAGAAATGATTTATTTCAAATCACAGTTAGGGCTGTGTAACAGCGATAATAACACAAAAGTCATATGTAAAATTCAACTAATCAATGGGTCTAATTAAATAAAAATATACAGTACACCTGTATGAGCTTTCAGTTTCCTTTTTAAAATACTTTAGGAACTTCATTGTTGAGCATGCAACAGCCAATTTTTGACTAAAAAGTGTTGGGTGACTGTTACATGACTGATGCACTGCCCAGTGCGGCAAAAGTTGAACCAGATCTAACTTTTTCACAACACAGGGTTGTGTCGTTTTGCAGAGACCCCTGTGGTGCTGGTGCCGGCTGTGGAAAATGCAGTCCCCTGTAGAAATGTGTGGAGAGGGCATTATTTTTTCACATCTTTAAAACTCAGTCTGAATATAGCCTTGGCCATTGTCACTGAGACAGCCTATAATCTGTCATTAGTGTGACAGCAGTGGAAAAAGAGAGCTGCTCTTTCTCTGCCATCCGGGAAATTTATAGCAGATTTTTATATTGGTTGCTCTGTCCTTCCTGCTTGCCTTCATTTCCTACCCCCTGATGTCTAGCTGGTTGAGCCTTCAGTATTTCCTTACCACCTCTTTGTCTGTCCGCCTGTATGTCTGTTTGTGTGTCTGTCAGTCTGTGTCTGTGTTTTCCTTGTTCCATCCCTCCTGCTTTTGTCTTGGCAGTTCGAGACTGACAGTGTGCACGTAGAGAGAAATGTAAACCTTGAACCTCTGTGCGTGTCTGTGCATGTGTGTGTGTTAAAACACATTTATACACTTCACCTTCATCTGAGCTATAGCGGTGATAATCCATCATGTCAGTGTGTCTCTGCTGTTACATATGTAACTCAAGTCATCACAGCAGCATCCCGACTGACACTAATCAGCTCACTCTGTACGTGTGTGTGTGTGTGTGTGTGTGTGTGTGTGTGTGTGTGATGACATTTCTAGCATGATGGATTGTAGTAGCCATATGTGATGTGGTTGAAGTGTCACATTTCATTCTCATCATTCACTGCAGTGTGAACTGTAATGTAACCACCAGCTGTAACACAGCTGGTCTGATCTCTCTAAGGGCACACACACACACACACACTATGTTCATGTGTGGTATCATATGTGTATGTCTGTTATTACATTTAGACTGACGTCTGCAGTGACAAGATTGAAATAGTTGATTTAGCTGTGTGTATTTCTTTTTTTTTTCTAAATGCCAAGTAGGTATGTGTGTGTGAAATTGGAAATACTTGCTGTTTCAGTCTGTCTGAGAGAGAATAAGGAATCTGAAAGTACAAAAGCCAGTTCTGGTTCATTTCATTAACAAAAACTATGACAAAATGTATTTGTTACTGCCTTGATTTTCCAACATGAGGTTGATGAAACAAAAAACCCTTTGTAAATCAGAAACAGACCAAATCACAATACAAAATTATTTAGATATTCTTTTTTTTCACCATTGTTTCTTTAATTCAAAAGGTATAGCCAAGAAGCAGACAGGGTACATGGGGCAAGGGAAGAGAATAACATGCAACAAAGGTCCCTGGTTGGACTCAAACGGGCCATGTATCATTAACATATAATTTAGAGATTTTTAACAAAAAAACTATCAATATTTGGACTCACTATGTACACATAAAGAAAATGAGTGTGGTGTTGGTAAGGCTTATCCTGTGGCTATGAGCTAATGATTTACATTTGCTTATGACACAGTGCCCCCCAGGGTTTGGTTTCAGGGCCACTATTATTCAGTCTGTACTGTACAGAATGTGCTCCCTTCCTCCTAAATCATTCCTGAGGAGGAGTTAGAATAAGATCTCCTGCCATTCTATAATGCTCACAGATGCTGTTCAAATATCACTGTATAAAACTTGCTTAAAATGTGTTATTGAACTGTTTTTGCAGTTCTTCCCCTAAAGAAGAGTTCTTTTTCTGTGTACTATTTTTCCTCTGTAGTCTACAATGATTGTTACCTCATTATTATTGTTACCTCTAGTTATTTTTCTTTTGTTTGAAATTCTCTTGAAGTTCATTCTACACAGCAGGAACAACAAACCTTTAACCAGAGTTCAGTCTGAGTCTTTGAGATTTAATAGGAATGAGTTCTGAGATGTCAGATCATATAGCAACCCACATACAGTTACAGTTGAAATGTTGACTTATTAAATTTAATTTGTTTGCAGCTTTGTCTGACTTCTGACTTCAGTTTACTTTTTGTTCCATCATCTGTAGATGCTTTTTGAATGTGCGCACCCACCAGTCTTTAATTCTGAAACAGGACTGAACACTCATCATTTGTTTTATCCGTAACACTAGTTTTTGAGGAAACATTTTTTGTTGAGGTATGATATGGATGAGAGACTGTTTTTCTGCTGGACAATACTTTATTATTTTGATTGAGGCTTCTTGGATTGTCTGTCTGTTGGTTGGCACAATACTTCTGTTCAGAGTGAATTATCTTAACTATTGATGGACACATAAAATTTTGTGGAAACGTTTATGGTTCTACAGGATGAAGCTTAGACTTTTAGACTCCTTCCTATGTTGGTTATGTCTCTAATAATCAGAACATGGTTCACATCTTCATGTTTTATTTAAATTCCTTGACATCAGACCAGCCAACCTTATTGCATTTTTTTAATAACACAATTTCTAATTATACAACATACCAGCTTCCAGTAGCAGTTTTAGACAAAAATTGTTTTGGATTGAAATCAGAGTGGATTCTGACCTGGAAGCGATTTGCTTAAGTTTGACTAAAATGTCCATTGGTTTTCACTAAAACAACACTAAAATATTCAGTTTTCAAGACAGGAGCAATTAGTTTTTCTCAATTCAAAATTGATTATAAACAAGAGGGATGCATTTTACTAAATATTACTATAACTCACATGAGCATATGATCTCAGGACTAAGATTAAGACAGGACCTAAAATAAGCAAAGCGTTACTATATTATTATTATTATTGTTATTATATTACCACATTATAACCAGACACAGAGACAGTTTCTTCCCCTTGGTCATTACACTCTCGAACAACTAGTCTACTGTATGTATTTTGTTTATATCACTGTGCACATTGGGGGGCCACTGGGCTGGAATCAAATTCCTTGTATTTTTGATAATGCTTAATAATAAAGTTTATGCTTATGCTTATACTTGACAGAACCATCTGAAATAGTTCAATTTTCCCCTCACTTAGTTTAGGACTGAGGTGCCTTGTTGTATAATTACAAGCATGTACACGTGTTCGTGTAGGAGGAGGTGTTGAACAGCTGAGAGTGCTGCTTCACACCTGAATCCTGGATCTTCTTCCAGTCAGACCACCTGACAAATGATTAATTTCCTCTTTCTGCTCTCTGGTCCCTAACTGCTTTTTTTTCCATCTGCCTTCTCTTTCTCCTGTCTGTGAGTGTATGTATGGAGGCTTGTGTGTGAGAGAGATCATTTGTGGTGCAAAATGTAGAAAAAGGAATTGAATTTATGCCCCAGACCCATCAAATGACAGGCAGGTGGAGAGCATTCTGCTGCATTCTGAACAGCATGTCAGCACTACATTGGAGGGCTCCTTTTTCTAGTATGTGTGTGTGTGTGTGTGTGTGTGTGTGTTGTGTGAGAGAGAAAGAGAGCTTGTAACATCTTCTGTAAGTTTTCTGCAAGACACTGTATGCCTATTGACCCAAACCTGTGTTTATTTCAGACTTTGCCTCTCATGTCCTTCTCTTGTCATCAGTCCCTTTAATAGGCAATCTGAACAGAAGTTGGGGGAACAAAGGGAGACAACAGGGGAGTGAGAAAAGGGAGGAGTAGTAGGTTATTTTTGTCTTCCTGACATGTTTTCATAGCTGTGTTCAGGCCCCCCCACCACCCGACATGTAAGCTGGTGGCTTCACAGCCATGTTGAGTTACAGACTCTTCTTTTACATGGTCCTGAAGGAAATCAGTGCCTAACCTTCAGCTGGTCTTTGCAGTCTAGCTATTCAGAATTCAGTCCAACATGGTCTCTATCAGTATCAGTGAGGATTTTAGTGCACCATTTTTTTGTGTGTTAACCTAGTTTTGCTGGAGTCAGGGGAGAGAATTGACTTAGAGACATGCTGAGGTTTGCTGGAAGTCAGTTGTGGGAAAGGAATAATAATGGTAGATGAAAGAGTGAAAGTGTGTCTGATAGCTACTGTATGTGGACACCTGTGTAGGGTGTGCAAGAGGCAGGATATGTTGCAGTCATGTAACCAGTTTGTAATTTTGGTCATAAACAACATTTGATCCTGTACCTTAAATTTGTCAGATGATTTTGGCACCCTCTCTTAATGGCAGGAGTTCCTGAATCTCGTTGTGTTTTCAGTTAGATGTTTTCATTGGCATCTTCATTGTAAATGACCATAATGCAAAATAAGCAGTATAGACAGGCAGTAAACAATGCAGACAGACAAAGGAATGCTCATTGAAATGAGATAAATAGGAATAAAGGAATAAAAGTAGAGTACTTAAAAATAGAGACCTGGGCAAGGGGCAAGTAAACAGTAAACCAGCATAAGGCTGTGTAATATGACAAAATAAACAGTATTAACAAGCAACAAACAGTGCAAACAATGCAAAATAAGCAGTATAGACAGGCAGTAAACAATGCAGACAGACAAGGAATGCTCATTGTGAAATGGGAAAGTTGGGAAGTAGGAATAAAAATAGAGACCTGTACAAATCTGTATAATCTGTACGAGGTATATTTACAGGTATTGCACTGAAGGTTATTGTCCAGTCGTACTGTCATGGGTCAAGTGTTCATCAGAACGATGGCCTGGGGGAAGAAACTGTCCCTGTGCCTGGTTGTCTTGGTGCACAGTGACCTGTAATGCCGTCCAGAGGGGAGGAGTTCAAACAGCTTGTGTCCAGGGTGTGAGGGGTCAGCAGTGATCCTCTCTGCCCTCCTTTTGACCCATGAGGTGTACAGGTCCTCCATGGAGGGCAGGCTCACACCAATGACCTTTTCTGCAGTCCTGACTGTCTGCTGAAGTTTGTTCTTGTCCTGTTTGGTTGCTGAGCCAAACCAGACAGTGATGGAGGTGCAGAGAACAGACTCGATGATTCCTCTGTAGAACTGTATCAGCAGCTCCTGGGGCAGGTCGAACTTCCTGAGCTGGTGCAGGAAGTACATCCTCTGCTGTGCCTTCTTATTTGTTATATTACACAGTCTTATGCTGGTTTACTGTCTACTTGCCCCTTGCATGGGGATACATTGAGAACCGATGTACCAGAGTCAAATTCCTCATGTGTCCAACACACCTGGCCAATAAAGCGGATTCTGATTCTGATTCTGATTCATTCTCCTTCATCATCGGATGTGTGTACTCTTACAGCTTCACAGCAGTCACATGATAGAACTTCAACACGCCCAGCTGTATTCTTAGATGGTCTCACTCTCGCTCACTTGGACATTATGTGGACTTTGTACTAGGCAGCAGGCAGGGCAAAGTCCAGTTAATCTCCAGGCCAGCTGACTCAGACATCTGCGTTCTCACATACAGCTCTTCTGGGTAATGTCTAGATAATTTCAGGGTTCTGATGTTTGTCTGAAAAGGGCTTTATAGTGATATTAAACAGCTTCTTTTTTTGTTTTGTTTTTTTACTAAGAATTGTGTTCATGTCCCACTAAGTAAGTTGCTTAGAAAGATTCGATAAAGCCTCCAAAATGATTGAGTTTCAATAAGCAGATTTGGCTCTCAATTGAGATTTGATAATGTGTTACTGAACCCCATTCCTGTCAGAGTTAAGGTAATGCTTACCTTCTGAAAGTTTGTTGCAGCTCTGCGTTCATATGGTAAAAGAAAGGGGCAGTGCAACACTCTATAAGACTAAATAGAATGTACACTCCAGCCTGTACAATTAAAGACTACTATTGTGCTCCTACAGTAAAATACAAACCCATTCCTCTTCATTAAAGGCTAAAAGGAAGCCAGTTTGGACAGTAATGACATATCCCCCAGCCACTGAGCTGTTTGACTGGATCATAATGATAGTGTGTATTCTTGTATTGCAGACCTTGTGAAAACCAATTATAGCTCAAGGACATTACTGTGGGTAAATTGGAATAAGATATTTTGTATACTCGTTGCCTTATGGAAGAACATTGTGCATAAACACTGATAGCCACTGTGCCAGAGTCAAATTCTTTGTGTTCAACACATCTGGCCAATAAAGCTGATTCTGATTCTGATTTTGATTATATGTCAAAGGTTTTCTGCCCACAATTACAAAAAAAACAGAGCTCTCTTTTGGTTCCTTTCCTAGTTGACAAACAATTAAATAGTCTATAAGCCACATTCTGAGGGTTCTGAGTATGTTGTTCAAGAATCCATCCTTTTAACCATGGAAAACATGAGTGTAGATGTGGACTTAAGCCCCATTTTATTGGAATAAAATATTCTCATTGGTCTGAGCTGTATTTTAACAATTGAGAAATTACAGTGTGTGGCCTGTAATACACATGAACATTCTGCAGGATTAACCTAAAGAAAATAGCGTTACCTTCCTCTAGCTGACATTACAACAGCCTTTTTTGCAACCCTGTTTTCTAGAGATTATGTTTATATGGAATTGAATTGTTTCCCCAGTCACATTGTGATGAAAAGCATAAACAATGGCAGGATTATGTTCAGAGGAAACCTTTTTTTTTTTTAACAGTGATGGAGCACCTCTATGTACTACACTAGAGTCACAGGGAGGTGGTCTAGATGGAAGTTAGGCGTACAAACCACCAGACTGGCATGAATGTGATAAGTGGAATGTCACAAGAAAATGTTTTTGTTTGTGTGTATGTGCTGCCTACATTGCCCATGCTCTGTTTTTCTGCCCTTTACTCATTCCTTGTTTTTCATCTCTCTCTGGCTCCTCTCGTCCTTGTTGGACCAGACCAGCTGTCTCAGTCTGTCCCTGTCCCTGCTGTTTTAATAGCTGTGACACGGTGGCCAGATCCATACTCCAGACAACAGCCATGCAAGTCTCAAATCCACTGAAGAAAACATAGAGGAAAAAGACTTAAGCAAACACAGTAAAAGCAGAAGCAACATGACACAGGCCTTTAGCATTTGGTACATTCTGTGATTTAGCATAGGCTTATTTCTTTAAATGTCAGGCCAGAGAATTTCTCCAAATCAATATATACCGTATGGCCTTGGACAACCTCCTGTTTATTTTATTTGGTAAACTGCCAAACACTTTAGTACTGAGATAATGATTGATTGAAATTTAGATTAGGTTTAACATTTAATAGCATTGTTGTGTGACCCAGATTTTCCTTTCACATCTTCCCCTTTTACTTCCCTCTTCTCATCAATTAATCTTTTTCTTCATCCTCATCCTCTGCCTCTCTTCACCTCTTCTCCCTAGGATTTTGACCTACTCTTATTTGCTGTCCTTTAATGCCTGGCTGCTGCTGGCCCCCATCGTGCTCTGTTACGACTGGCAAGTGGGCAGTATTCCCCTGGTGGAGTCACTAGGAGACATGCGCAACCTGGCTACTGTGCTGCTGGCTGTGGTGATGGTGGCGCTCTGTCTGCACTGCGTCTTCTCACTGCAGGTAAGAGCAAGAAAGTGACAAGTAGCAAAAAAATATTGAAGACCCCAGTTCTCTTGAATTCTGTTGATACTTTGCTGCCCTCATTTGTGTCATTTGAAGAATGGGAAGAAGTGTTAGAGCAGGTGGTATCATCCTAGAAGTAACAAGAATCAAATTAAACTCCTATTGTTTCATCAAGAAAGGTACTGTGGCACTTATAACATTTAGCGTTTTTGTAAAATCTCAAGCACTTCAACATTCAATGGAAACATTCCAAAATTAGACAAAATCTGATACTAAACTTGGAATGAGTGAGTTTGGAAATATCTGTAGCTTCTTTTTGTTTTGTTTTGTTTTAATGGGGGCAGATACTTGCACCTAAATTATCCACTTTCGACACACTTAAAGAATGAAAGAGACCAAAGACTCCTAACTCTGTAAATGTTTATCAGGCGCCACCATTAGGCCAAAATTTTAACGTAACCAACAACTCTATCAATTGTAACATCCTCACTGTAGAGCTGCTTTGTGTTGTGGTGTGATACTCGGTCTACGGTCCTTTTACTGGCACTCTGGATAAGATACGATATCCTATCATAAAGCAAGTGTGTGTGTAGTATTTACAGCCAAAAAAAAGTCAACAGATGATCTACTCTGAATACAAATAGAAAAATATATATAAGATATTTAAATAAACAAAGCAAATTAGAGAAGCTAAATTTAAAGAAAAAATCAAGTCTTGTTGCGTGTTGATCCTCACTATATTATTTATAGTGAGGAATATACAGTAAATGTTCTGTAAATTGCAGTTACAGCAGAAACTCTGGGCACACTTATTAGAGTTGCTCAAAACACTGCAATTGTTCCTGGACTTCTTGATTTCCTGTAAATTACAGTTCCAATAAGATATTCAGGGTCAGTTTATCTAACATTACATAAAAGGCAGAACTATCCAACCTACAGTACCAAACTCAAATTAGTCAGCACAGTAATAGTAATAATATATATTTATGGATGACTGGATATGCCACTGAAACACATCTAGAGTAGTATTCTTAATACTCTACATCTGCCAAACTTTCTCACTCAGTAGGCTATTCTCGGGTTAGTCTTGTGATGGCGTATTTCACGGTGCTCAATAACAATTCAGTAAAGGTTTTTCAGAGACAGACTTTACTGTAATAACAGTAATAGCAGCTCATTCTCTCTGTTGACCATAATGAATCTTTGTGAGTGTTCCGCTAAAGAGCACACTGTGCATTTTCTGAGCTTTCTGAGCTAAGTATGCTTTCAGATCTCAGTGGGACTCTTAATTAGTGCTTCTTTCAGGTGAGTGTTAAAAAGGTCAGCCCATTATATGGTAAATATGCATAGTATCAGTTGGGCAACAGATAAGCTGAGGAGTGACTCCTATTTCTGATAAATATAAAAAGTTGAACTATTTTTTGTTTCTTTCATTGCGGCTATAGCAAAAATATTTTGTGCACAGTTTGTCTTTATAACAAGAAACATTTATAGTAACATGATGATGTAGACATGTAGCAGGATGTTTTTATATATTTGTTTTGTTCATGTTTTGTTTATGTGCCTCTTAGTGTATGTGAAATTGGTATGAGTGATTGTCAGTGACCGGGCCATGATTAGGTACTGGTCTGTGCTGCGCTGCCAAACCAAAATGCAGACATTAAAGTATCTGACTAGATTGAGCCTTACGGATAATGATGTCAGTTTTGTCTCTTGCCCATCAGCACCAATGCACAGTGTCTCAACATCTGTCTGAAGCCTGCCTAACTGTCCCTGACCACATACTGTGCCATTTCTTTGTTTGTCTATGCTATGCGCCACATATCCACCATCACCCCTTCAAAATAATATTCACCCATCAGAGTTTTAATTTTGTTCCTCTGAATGCACAGGTAGCAACACTATATTTGTTCATAACATTTTATATATGGAAATTGTTCTTGAATTCAACCTATGTTAGGAACCCAGACCACAAACTGGATGCTGCTTGGGTTGTTCCATTTCCTATACTGTGTGTACTGTGTAGTTTGACTTACAGTATAGTTTTTAATATGGGCAAACCATTTAAGTAATAATCCCTCTAGATGTCTGTGTCAGCACTGTGATAATCCTGTCCCACCCCTGTTGCCCTGTGAGAGGCTCCAGCCTCAATGCGAGTGCTGGTACAGGAGAAGTATTTCAGTCAGCCATGTCCGCAGCATCAAATAAATATTTAACCATATTTAAACCAGGCGTTGTTTTTTTCCCTCTAGATGATGTAGGCTACAGCTTTCTTGATCCTCTTTTTTTTAACACCACATAGAAGTTTCTTCTTGCTATAACAAGACACCAACTTGTGTTAATGAGATATGGTGGCATTTTGAAATTACCAGGAAAATTTTGTGATATAACAAGATCAAAAGATGTGTTGTTATAGAAAAGATGTTTCTTGTAATAACACTATAATAATAAGAAAATATGCCCTAACACAAAGTATCTTGCTTTTATCTAACACTCGTCACCAGCGTTTTAGAGCATGACACACACACACACACACACAGACACACACACACACACACACACATACAGTACAAAAACACACAGCTTATATACACATTCGCTTTATTACTTTACATTTTTAAGTCAGGCCCATTTCATACAGCTCCAGTTACCGTGGAGACAGATCTTAGTCTCTGAAAAGTGTGTTATGTGTTGATACAGTGCATAATTTCCAAAGGTATGTTGGCTGTGAGAAAGAGGTTTATACATTCTCAATCAGCAATACCTTTTTGTACCTCCGGCTCTGCATTAGTGCTTTGCAGTCTTTTTTTCTTTTTCCCACAATGCCTCCCTGCTTATCTCTTGCTAAGATTTCATATAATATTTAGTTCAAATTGTCTTTATTGAACTGTGCTTCAGTTTTGGGGAGAAATATTCCTGAAACAGAATGTGTCCTGGCAGAAAATGTAATTTAGTCAAACTAAATACTGTCAGGTGTTGCTGCTGCCTTCTTCTCAGGCTATCTGGTAACTTTTTCTCCACACTAAAACAGTCACATCTCTGTCATGCTCGCAGGCCTTGCTCTGGGAAGTCAGAATATTCCAAATAATTTTCATCCATCAGAGCTTCAACAGGGAGGGGAGATAGCTTTGCGCTTCTGAATTCATAAGTAGCATCTCTGTATTTTTCCAGTACATTTTGTACATGGAAATTGTTCCTTTTTAGGAGCAGGCAGCCTTTCTGCAGTATCTGAAGCTGAGAAACACAATGTTATAGAGTAGCAGCATAAAATAGCTAAAACAGCACTTTTTTAGGCTGAACACTCCCATTTACATATTCAAAAATGCATTAAAAATCAATAACTTTTTTTCACCTGCTTCCATTGTTTATGCTAAGTTACACCAACCATATTCTGGATCTAGCTTCACAGATTTCTGATTTCACCATTTGTCATATTTTATTGTTAACTTACACCCATGTTAGGTTCATTACTGCCAAACCAGACCCCATTTAGATCTTAAGCAGCCTTAAGAGACCATTTTCCACTGATGTTCATCCATTTTCTTAACTCTCTTGTGTTTAATTGTGCAGAAGTAGCAGACTTTTTGGCACAATCTGTGTCTTGGCCATGTCTCTGCCCCATGTTTTTCAAGTCATTTTAGATCCAGTGTCATAAAGGACATACTCACACTAGACAAAGTTGCCTTGTACTGTGCCTGAGCATGATCCCCCTCCCTACTCCCCCTGCTGGCCTGCGCTCAAACTGCACTTGAAATGATCAGGGCTAGAGCTCGCCACGATGCAAGTGAAGCGAAGCACTCTCATATAGCACATACGTATTGCTCGAGTTCCATGGCCAGGCATGGTTAGCAATCACACTATACATTATATGTATCATGCCTGAGTTTAACTGAACTGTGCCCTAGCCACCTTAAGGCGGTGGGCCTGGGCATGGAGCAGTCACTTTGGACTTTGTCTGCTCCTGTTTGAAATGTTGGACCCACACCTTTTCCTTACAGTGTCTAGTCGTAGTCTTTCCCTTGTTTGCCTACCTGTCTATGGACACTTTATTGTTTCCTAGATCTTTTTATTTGTCTGCCCCTTGACTGAACATTTTGCTTCAGCCTGTTTGTTTGGCTACAAACTGTTTTCCCCTGTTGACCATAACTCTCTTTATGCCTCTGTATGAATTTGAAAGGGCATTATGCTTCTCCAGCCTGTTAGCATGGGTATGCTAACAGCCAGCTGCCCTGTGGCTAGAATTAGGTCTGCTAGCATCCAGTCAGCCTCACCTCCAACTAGCACTATGCCCCTGTCCTGCTTCTGTTCAGGAGCCCCAGGCAGTGCCCCTGAACTCTAATCTGCCATTGTACTGAGGCCCAGCCTTCCTATGAACATGAGCTCCAGTCTGTTTCCCTGTTGGTTTGTCATAAGTTTGCTTACTCCTACCCTGCTCCTATCTTGGACTCAGCTCATATCCAGTCTGCTCCTTAGAAAAGATGACAATCTTCTTAGCCCTCATGCACACACAGACCACAGCTTCCCAAGCCAGAGCTTCTCAGTGTCAGGCCACCCAGAACTTCAGCCATCTTATTCTGTTCCTGTTCCTGTGTCAGCTATAGTCACCAACGACTCATCTGTTCCTGATCAATATGACCTGCTTGTGGTTCTGCATTTGGGTATAAAACAAAACCACTAAATTGTTGTGCTTTTTGGAGTTTAATTCTTAGAGCTCTACTCCTACTCAAAGAAGGATCCTGAGTTTATTAGGGGTCATGCAGGGCCTGTCATGAAAGCAAAACTGCCAACATCGAGTGCATTATTATTTTTTTGTTTTACAGTATATCCACAAAATCGTGTACAGTCAAAAAATTCTGCTTTTAAAATGGCACTGGTGGATGTCTTTTTTTAAATGTACATAATTAACAAGGCAATATAACATTTTGCAGTTATGATGGGTGCAAAGCTAATCTAGAGGTACCCAAGATTAAACTTTAAATGGCTGGAAACGAGCAAAA